AGGGAAAGCTAAATCACCTTGGAGAGGCAAAAATGTAGAATAAGAGAGTCACTGAAAGTATTCAAATGTAGAACAGTACAAAGAGCTCTGGCTTAAGCAACTCTATATTTTAAGTTTCTCACTGGTTAGGTTCAAAATGCAATAACTCAAACCTGAAATGCTAGGTTTTCTTAATTAGTTCTGGAGTTTGTTCTTAGGGTTTGTTTTGTTGTGGGTTTTTTTTAATGTTTAATGAGTACGAAAGTTCGCAATATTAATATTTCATTTATAGCTTTGGTCAACAGAAGTTTATTATTTTAAAAATCATTATAGGCGTACTTTGTTTAGGCTGGAAATTATTAGAAAGCTCCAGTTCAAAAAGCTTAGAAAGAAACAGTTGTAACTCCATATTTTTGAGTTAGTTTGGCAGAGGAAATATGGGGACACATCCAAACACATACAGCATCTTCATGTTCGGTTGACAGTCCAAAATGAATTACATAGAATCATAGAATGGTTTGAGTTGGAAGAGACCTTAAAGACCATCTAGTTCCAAGCCCACTCTTATTTCTGCATTAAGAGCATTTCTAAATGTCAGGTTGTTTTGGCATGTCTGGTTTCTAAATTGTGGCTGGAAGGCTGCCTGATGAAAAAGGACCGGGGGGTGTTGATGGGCAGCCGGCTGAACATGAGCCAGCAAGTGTGCTCAGGTGGCCAAGTAAGCCAGCGGCATCCTGGCTTGTATCAGGAATGGTGTGGCCAGCAGGAGCAGGGAAGCGGTCTTCCCCCTATCCTTGGCACTGGTGAAGCCATGCCTCAAATCCTGTGTTCAGTTTTGGGCCCCTCGCTCCAAGAAAGACATTGAGGTGCTGGAGTGTGTTGAAAAAAGGGCAATGAAGCTGGCGAAGGTTCTCAAGAACAAGTCTTATGAGGAGCAGCTGAGGGAACTGTAGTTGTCCAGGCTGGAGGAAAGGAGGCTGAAGGGAGACCTTATTGCTTTCTACAACTACCTGAAAGGAGGTTATAGCGAGGTGGATGTTGTCTCTTCTCCCACGTAACAAGCAATAGGACAAGAAGAAACGGCCTCATGTTGCACCAAGGAAGATTTAAATTGGACATTAGGAATTTTTTTTTTTTACTGAAAGGGTTGTCAGTTATTGGAACAGGCTGCCCATGGAAGTGGTTTAGTCACTGTCCCTGGGGGGATACGTTTTAGATGTGGCACACGGGAATATGGTTTAGTGAGCAGTGCTAGGTTAACAGTTGCACTTGATGATCTAAAAGTTCTTGTCCAACCTAGACAATTCTATGTTTCTATGATTTATTTATTTTTTTCCAAGCAAGGAATTGTGTCTATAATGATTTTTTTTTTAAATCAAAAATAGACGCAACATGATTTTCGATATGTATTCTTGCTTTCCTGTGTCAGTTAACCAAAACAAAATAACAAAGCATTGTGGTCACAAGGAAGGGATAATTACCTGGGATATGTACTAAAGCATGAGCTGACTTGGAGTCAGTTATCACTGCCGTGTCTGTAGTAATATGCTCTTTGAAGAAAGCATGCTTTGTTTCTTCCCCTACTTTACTATGACAGAAAGAAAGAGGAAGTTGAAAACTTTTGCAAAACTAAGGGAAGTAGAGCTCAGTGATTGGGAAATTTTGCAATTACCGTAGCGCAGGGAGAGATGTAAAAAAAATACCCGCCCAACCCCCCTTTATTATTCAGTAAGCTTTAAATTGAAAAGGTCAGTTAACCTGTCTCTTCCCCTTATAAAGAAGGGATAAAGAGTATGTATCACCCTGTTTCTGCATGTAGTTGGAATTTGTACCTACAATTTAATTATAATCAACAAAAATTAACAGCACTATTATGTCAGTGTGGAAAGTGGAGTGCTAAATGTGTGAAACTCTGTTTTAGCTGATGCAAGAAAATAAGAATCTCAGTATTGAATGTATATCTTAAAGATGCTAGTGGAAGAAAATTAATAGAGGAGAACTGTGGTAAAATTATAGTTAAAAAAAAAAAGTATTTTAGTAAGGATGCAGAGTGATGGGTTGCTAGTACAGTAAGTGGGTTTTGCCAAATGGAAAGAGTCTGTAGAAATGCAGTAGAATCATACTTTCCTGAGGTATTGTTGTGCTTGACCACAGTTTCAAAGAGAGATTTATATAATACATTCATCTCAGAATTTGAACTGCTTAGTTTTGTAAGCCTTTCAGCATTGGAAAGCAAGGGAGCATAGCACCAGCTGTTGCTCGCTTATCGGACTGTCGTCTGTCTCCTTAAGTGAACAGATGATTTTAGCTTCTCTGACTTGCTACCTTTGGTGGGCATGATGATGCTGTCACTTGGATTCACTAAGTGTAATAGGTCAGTGTCTTGACTATCACCATTTTCTCTGACCCTGCTGCACAGCATCTAATGTGGATTTTGTGGTGGGATGGTTGTTTGTTTATTTTTCTCATATAAATCTTTACTCTGCTGGAGTGGGAAGACAGTGACTCAGTCCGAGAGCTTGTGCTGTTTGGACCCATTTAGCAATCCAACCCTGTTGGTCTATCTTGAAAAACAGCAAATCCATCTATCTGTTCCAGGAATGCAAGCTGGGCACAGTCCTGGATCTCTTTTGATACAAAGTGCTGAGGCGACCACATGGGGACAGGGTTTATTTTGGTGATGTGAAGGTGTCCCATTTGTAACAAGTGAAAGCAAGAAACTTCCGTCTAGTAGCATAAGCAGTTTGATCTGTATCAATAGACAAATTACTTACGTGAAAATAAGTAGGTAGGTTTAGCAAAATGAAAACCTAATTTCCGCCTTAAATCTTTTAGCAAAATACCTTTTCTTTGTTTAGAATGCTTGATAGACCTTGAGCCAGTCCTGCGAACATTTGATGAAATAGCTATGCTGGAAGCAGTAATTCTGTTAAAGAGATCAAAGGTAAGTGGCTTTTCCTACAGTCATGACTTGGTCAAATACGTTGGTAACTTTTGTTTGCTAAAATAACTATAATCTCTCTCATTTATCTTATATCTGACTGAAGTATGTGTTTGTACAGAGCTGCTGCCTTCTAGCAGAAATTTAATACAGGTAAATATGTCTCTTCCAGTCACTATATGAATCACGCTGTATCCACAAGAGTGGAAAGAAAGCAGACATGGAGCAGATATCTCTAAATATACCTCTGAATCAGCAAGAGGTAAATATTTTACATATCACATTTGGTATGTTAGCATCATTAAAGATCTGAGAGCTTTAAAGGGGGCTTAATAAGTGGGAATTGTAGTTTACTTTCCTCTGCAGTCAGGAAAGGCATAAAATTCATTGACTGAGCTGTGGTGTAAGAAATGCATAGCCATAGGTAAAGATATTAAAGATGGGGAAGCAGAAATAAGAAGGGCATGTTTATTATATCCTATAAATGCAGGAAAGCCAGTCTCTCAAGGAGTGCAGCACAGTGTCTGCAACTTGTAAGAGACTGTTTTCTACTCCTTTACACCACTACAGATTTTCCTTTATAGAGTTATGTAGACTTGCTTTTACATTTTGATTCTTAATGCTGCTTCTTTTGATTCTTAATAAAAATTAAATTTCTGTATAAAATTGCTGTCAGCTTTGGTAAAACGCAAAACCACCAGGATTACATAAATTTCCTCTTTTTTACTGGATTTTAATTGTGCTGTCTATTGAGCATTTACGTAGTAGGGAAAAGACAGTGAGGGAAGAGTACTCTGTAAATCATTGCAAAGTTGTATTTATTTCATGTGCATTTTCATTACACAATGGCAATCATTTCAGGAAACATACTCTGGCTCTATACAATGTGATGCGTTTCCCCTTCGGAGCATCTCTCCAGATATATCAAGACTCAAGTCTGTTCCCAAGTGTAACATCCTCTCATCAGGTAGAGACACTAATGACTTCATATAAATTTAAGTTCTTTAAGAATCTTTATGTTAGAAAAAAGAATGTGCTTTGTAAACTTAGTGCTCTGCGTAAAAACCCAAGTATTTCAGCTCTGATTTTCTGTTCCTGTCAGTTGAAAAATCCCCACAGCTCACAATGTCAGTTTTCTTATTCAGCTGAGTAAACAGAAAGATTCTCATGCAGCCCAAACTCTCGATCATTTTTGGTTCAGCAAATAAAACCTCTTTAATCAGTAGATTGCCTTGCAAAAGTGTCTGCACAGAGCTTTTGTAACTGTCACCTTTTCTGAATAAAAGTTGGCAAAATACCCAGACAAAACGCAATTTTGTTGTTTTGCTGACATCAGAAGCCAGAAAAATGAAATGGCACCCAGGTGAAATAGCAATGCATTGTGAAACTAAAACTGCACTTGAGTTTCTTCTCTTGAAAGAATGCAAAATTATTTTTCAAAAGAATAGAGCATCCTTTGGCTTTGCAAAGGACCTGTAATGTGAAAGCAGACAAGGTGTTGGATTTCAATGCTTTAAAGTAGGGCATCAAAAAGTGTGCTGAAGTGCTGCAAGACAGGAGAACACTCTGGCAGAGGTAGGAGGGCATAGGCAGTTTCTTTTCCAGCTCCCCTTCGAACACTTCCACAACTCTAGTCTTGTACTCAATGTACTAGAAAGTTTCAGGAATTCCAGGGGGAAAAAAAAATAAAATTGAGAGGCTTAAAGAGTTTGAGTTACAGGGGAAAACAGCAGAAAGCAAATGTGGTGGCTGTTCCTCTACCCAAGCATCTTAAAGATGAAGAATAACTTGCGGTTACCAATCTTAATAGGAATGTTGTGATGAATTTTAGAAAATGGAATATTAGATTGAATATGAGCATGATCTGTTAAGTGTAATCAGATAAGATAATGATAAATGTTTGCCCTTCTTGCTGCTGGTTTCATACCTGCTTGTGAAGGTAATTGATGAGGTTGTGGTGGTACTATTTATCTGATTGATCAGGAGGTGTTCCTTTAGAATCACTTCTTAGACTTTATTAAATATATGTATAGATACTGTAAATCCTGTGAAAATAGTGTCTACAAAATGGTACAACACCAGGAGTGTTTGTTATTACTTTGCCAATATCTGGTAGTTATATAATTGAAACCAAGAATGACATTCTTTTTGCTTTGCATGAATTAGATGCAATTGTTTTACTGAAAACCTGTTTCCAGGTAGCTGTTGGCAGGAGATTATTTTGGCATAGCACCAAGGCAGAAGTTAATGACTAGATTTTAGTTGAGTTGTTTTTTCCATTAATACAATTAGAAGACTTTTCCAGAAACTTGTTCCTTCAGAGTTTGGAACTACCTCCTAACTTTCAATTTTTCTTCCCTAGTCAGCTTATACACACACCTGTTCATGCCTGGCTCTTTCCCCTCTTCTCCTTATATGCCTGATATAGAGAGTAATCCTTTAAATACATTTTGTTTTGCTAGACAAGTATGATACATTCTTCTGAAATCCATTTGTACACTCCTCTTCTTCATTTTCCTGGTATCCTACTAGCCCTCCCTGTGCATGTTCTAACTGCAGTCACTGAGGATTTGGAATTGGGATGAGTTTGAAGCAGAAAGTCTAGTTCTCTTGGTTTGTGCTACTGAATTTCCACTTCTCTTACTCCAGTCTTCTGGGTCAACTAGGTTATTTCTGAGTAAATTATCCTTTCTGAATAATACTTCCAGATTTCATTAGATGTTTCTGGGTTTTATGCTGTGGTCACTGGTGAAGATAATTTTCCCATATTAGTGCAATCCCAGTAGTTTTGCCTCTAATGCTATTATAGATCTGTCTGTGTCTAGAGATCTATAACAATCTATCCCAGCAGAACTATTTAAAATCCTTTTGTAAAATGATCTTTCACTCACACCAGTTGTTTCCTAATCTGTTCTCATTTATACAGTAGATAACATCTGCCGTTTCACACTATATAGCTCTGCCCAGCTTACTTTCTCTCTAATGAAATGAAATGCTAGTTACTATGAGTAGTAGTCCACCATGTTTTAAATAATGAGAGTGTCATTACTTTCATATTGTTCTATTCCTGCTCCTTGTACTTACAGCCATATGCTTCCAAGGTCAATACTCTGATCTAGGAATATATCTTTAATTACACCCATTGGATGAGTATCTGTGAGCTAAGGGGCTACCTGTTCTTCTTGCATTTTTAGATGTTCATCTGAATTCTTACATCTGCATCTCTGGCTCTGGTTGACATCTCTGAAGCTCTTTATCAAGTGTCACTGTGAAAGCCTGTAATGAAAACTGTGTACCGAATTAGACATATGCCCTGTGACTAGGTTCTCATCAGCTATTTTTTACCTCTTCTTTGAGTCATTTCTACTGCTGCTTTCATATCCATCACCTTTTTCTGCCATAAAAAAAAATCCTAAAAATAGAAACTGTTATCTTTTACACCTTATAACTCCTTTTTTGTTTTTGTTTTCCTTTCTCTGCAAACATTTACACAAAGTTTTCTTGAAGTCATATGCTGTTTTGAAGGAATAACAAAAGCTTCCACTGGCTTCCCACCAAAAGTCACCATTGGTCTTCATGTTCTGTCCCTCCACTTGAATCTTTCTTTCAATCTTTCCACCTTTGTTATACTGCCAAACTTCATAAAAATAAATTAGTCGTCTTTCATGCTGCACCCTAACTACCTCTCCAAACAGTTGAAAGAGATATTTTATTCCTCAAGTCTCTAAAAAATTTTTCTGTCAAACAGATATTTTTTTGTTTACATCTACCAGATTTATTTTCCCAATATTCCTTTTAAATAAAACAAGACCTCCAAACCCATGGTAAAAGATAAGGGACAGAAAGGCACTCAAAACCTATGTGTAAGGAATAATGTATTCAGAGTGAATTTAGGGTATTTATTACTTGTTTTCTGAATTATTTTAATGGATGTATTTTATCTGAACATAAAAATAATACACCTTGATTTGTGGTTGTTTTTTTTTTTAAGATGGAAATTCTGGTGATCTACACAGTCTCAGCAGTCAGAGCACAGATGAAAATATTTCTGTAACTCAGAGTGCCAAGCTCCTTGTGAATCCATGCAGTTGCCTTCCCTTATCTGACAAGAGTATTTCAGACACCTCAAATTTTGCACCTTGTGCCTTGCGGTCATCACCAATTCCTTCAGGTATGTACCTATAGCTCCTAGCTATTTTCTCTCCTTTTAAGCAAACTTAATTCCAGCTGCCTTGGGTCTTCTTTATCTCATTCCCTTTACTCATGTTATTTCTCCTTTCTATTGCTGCTGTAGCTGTAGCTGTAGTCCAGCAGAACAGGAATAAAAGTTAGCTTGAGCTTAACTCATCTTTTTGTCTGTTATTTCTCCTCACTTTTTAGGCTTTTCAATCTTCCTCTTAGTAATGGTGAGACAGAAAGAAGCAGCATCTGTGTCAACATCTCACCTTTAGTGATCTTGTGTGTTAGTTGAAAGCCCACTGTGTGATATTCCCATGAATCAAATAACTGTTAAAACTGTGCTTTCAAAAAAAATAACAAAAGGAAACTTTAATGCATGATAAATTATTCAGCTAGTTTGGGGGGGTTTTTTATGGACCACACAATAGCATGCAACTTTATAAAGATCTACTGCATCATCTCTCCTAGAAATATGCACTTTTTCACTGTGCAAGTTCTCAGCTTGAGCAAAATACACAGAAAACCACAGGGATGTTTTAAGTAAACTTCAATAAAAATCCCTCTATCAAGTGAAGTTACCACCTCTCTTTAGTACCATGTTGGCTTGAACTCAGGAACAGGTTGCCCACAGAGGCTGTAGAAGTCCATCACCTGAAGATGCTTAAAATTCATCTGAACAAGGAATTGAGCAACCTGACTTATCCTTGAAGTTGACTCAGCTTTTAACAGTCTATTAGACCAGATTTGACTTCCTTCAGGTCTCTTTTTAACATAAATTATTCTGTGATTCAGCTAAAGTAAACATTCTAACCACCAAATTTGACAAATGTGGAATACAATACTGAAATGTTAAAAGCCTGTTTAGTAGTCTAGTATATTTCTGATCAAAACCAAGTTTTAAATAGCTTTTTCTCAGCTTATTCTTTTATTATGGTACTATTTATTGACAGACAGTTGCAATACTGATTTTTATTTTTTTAATCCTCTCCAATCTCAGATTTTGTTTTGGAAACTATACAACAGAATGTAGCTCATCAATGGATCCAAAGTAAAAGAGAAGAAATTATTGATCAGATGACTGAAGCGTGTTTGAATCAGTCACTGGATGCTCTTCTATCAAGATTTTTACTCATGAAAGAAGACTATGAACTTATAAGCACCAAACCTACAAGGACATCAAAAGTCCGACAACTGCTTGATACTTCAGATAGCCAAGGAGAGGAATTTGCCAGAATTATAATACAGAAGTTGAAAGATAACAAACAACTAGGGCTTCAACCTTATCCAGACATTGCATCTAGTTCTTTAAGATTGTAGCTTTGAATTTATTATTTCTCTAGGAAACCATGTGAATATTTCTTATAATTTCTTGTTTCTATGTAGTAGTTTTATATATGTACTGCTTTGTCTTTCCTATGCCTTTGTGGAGTCCCAGAAATGACACTTGAGTTCATCTAGACTGTTTGGTGAGTTACCAATTGATCAGTCGGAGTGCAGTCATAAAGCCAAACGACACATTGACTCAATTCATAAAAGTATTTTGTTTATACATGACAAAGAAAAACATTAAATGTTCCCTGTTTTACATATGTTCTGTTTATACATATCCTTTTCTTTAACCTCATAGGATTGAGACAATCCATCTTAACTCAGAGTATCATTTTTTCTCCCTCCATCTGGTCTTTCCCATAGAGGGAGAAAAGAAACTAGGTGCTCTATTTTGGGGCTTGTATGTTGCGTGTAATAACTTCTTTCAGTTATACTGGTTACTCATCTCGAGATCGGAAAAGACAGCTGGGTTGGAGAAAGTTTACACTCATTTTTACAGGATTTTTTTATTATGGTTTTTTTTCTCATTTTGTTGCCAGGACAAGCACTTCACACTACTGCATATGAAGAATATGAGTCCAAAGAGCACCCCGAGGTCAAGGAGGACACTGTGCTGATCATCTTTGTTCTGCTAAGAATTGATTCATGAAAAGGATGTAACTATACTCTTTTCCACTATTTGGTTACGCCTGCTTAAAATCCGTTTGAAATCATAGTATGTTCAGATCCACATACAGCTTAGACAAGGGAGCCCTCAGTTAACATCTCTTTTACATTTCCTTATTTAATGCCTCCTCTACCTTTATGACCTGCTGTAAATACTTCTCATCTCATGTTACTAGACCAAACTTTTAATTCTATTTAATTTTTAGTATTTACCGGATGAGCAGTAGTTTGGGTCTGTACAAAGATCAAGTATGCACTGCCCTGCCAGTGTGTGGAGGTGACAGATACATTAGCCACTGTGTCAAAATCTGCTACTTCTGCTGTTTAACTCCAGTACTATGAAAGAGGAACAGAGTTTATGTGCAACTGAAACACTCAGCACTCCTTTTGACTGTGGCAGCAAAGCCAGGGTTGGCGAGGACAATCAAGGCCCAGTTATGCAGTTCATGCATAAATTCTCTGTTGGGAAGCCCAAATCTGGGGTTGTCCTATAGTCATGCTAGATCAGTGGATGTGTCAGGTGGGACCCTGCTCTGTGAGAGAAAGGGTTGCAAGCGCTTGGGAAGACTACCATTTGAAAATCTCATTGTTTTTCCCCACATACCTTCCAATATGCAATAGTATTTTGTGCACTCCTCGCTTCTTCATGGCAATTCCTATCATATTTTTCAGCTTTTTCACTCCAAGAAGGAATGCTGCTGATGTTTCAGAGCATTGTGCTTGCTCACAGTAAAAGCTTTTCTCTGAGTTGTTACAGATCATTGAGAGCCTTTTCAAATGTACATCTAAAAATGTCTTTTTGCATGTACATGGGGAAAAGCAGAAATATAGGACTGGACATACTATTTTGCAGTCATTGCCATTAGATTTCATAAGCCCTTGCAACACCTAGTCACTTAGTAGTGGCTGATCCTCATGTTCTGCTCCCATACCTTGAGTTTACATGGTTGGTAGAGGTTCTTTGCAGTGGTCTGCATGCTGTGCTCTGTCATAGTATCATAGAATCACTAAGGTTGGAAAGCCCTCAGATCATTTAGTCCAACTATCAACTCAGTACTAGGATGACCACTAAACTATATCCTGAAGTGCCACGTCTACAAGTTTTTTGAACATCTTCAGGGATGGCGACTCCACCACTTCCCCTGGTAGCCCGTGCCAATGCCTCACCATTCTTTAAGTAAGGAAATTTTTCCTTATATCCAATCTAAACCTCCTCTAGTTCTGCATCAACTTCATAGGAAAGGAAGTAAAGATCTGATTTTACCAAGACGACACAAATGGTGGCCTCTGTTTGTCATTCAGACTCTTGTAGCTAATGGCAGAGGGTCTTTGGCAGTATTTTTTCAATTGAGGTTGATTCTAAGTGCATCTGTTGTAGCCAAGGTATGTAGGAACCTGTGATGACCAAGCACTAAGTCACGGAGGCCAGAGGTAAGGAACAGGAGAAACCAGAGCACTTGGCAGAGGTGTAGCTGAATCAGGGCAATGGTATGAACGAAGAGGGCTCTGGAAATAATTGAAGTACTCTTGTTTCAAGTGTAGAGTATGAAAAGCCTTCCTGAGGAGTAATGGAAAATGTCACAGGCTTTTTCACGCAAGTGTACTTCACTTTGCAGTTCTGTAAGCCGATGTGTGTATGTGCAGCTATAACACACTGTAGCAGACGGATGCAGGAATGTTTACCTTAAACATTTCTTAGCACATTACAAACCACCAGCTTGGTACAGAACAGACCACCAGCAAAAATGAGACCAGTTTCTGGCCCTGTGTGGCAAACTGATAAATGCCAAATAGACTATGGGAGAGGGGTATAAAGAGCTGATAAGGCTAAGAAAGATACCTCAAACAGCCTTGGCACCGAACAAAGGAGGGAAGGAGTCTTGTGAGGGCAGGAGGGCCTTGCCTAGTAGCTTATCTTCCATGGACAGTTAACTGGCAGTTGCATATGCTAATGAAGATTATCATAAACAAAGAAGTGCCTTGCTCCCCTACCTCACATACTGCAAGTTCAGTTGTCGAAAAGCGTGTATAAATTGAGGTAAGAAAAAGCAGAGAGACGAGAAGAAAGCAGAAAAAGAAGGGAAGAAGAAAAGATGATGGGTGCATCCCTGAACCCTCACTGGCAGAAGTAACACAAAAACCTGGACCGGTGATCTCTCTCCCTCTCTCTCTCTCTCTCCCCCCCTCCCTCGCCCTTTCCTCTTTCTCACTAAGTAGCGCAAAGCCTGTCATACTGCTTACTTAGTTTATACTTAATTTCTTTCTTGTAATCGTTAAGTATAATACAGCTTGCTATGATTTACATGTCCTTTTTCCTTGTTATCATTAAGTAACGCAAGGCACAACATATGGCTTGCTCTAGTTCGTTATGTATTCAGTCTTTTCCTGGTTATCCTTAAGTCATATTATATTGCTTGCCCTAATGTGTCATATACTTGAACAATTATCGTGAGTCCAATCTATACACTGGGGGAATTTAATACGTGTTTGCGTATGGACCTTGAGACTTGTCTCATCTTTGTCCACTCCATTAGAGAATTACGAATATGTCACTCGTCCCTCTCTTCTGGGTGGGATATGGCACACACAGAAGAATTGTTATGAGCAGCAAGTTGGCACATGAGAATCCTTACTGCACAAGTGCTAGTCAAAGTCTGTAAGACTGTAAATAAACAAGAAAAATATGTTATAAAGGAAGTCACATTTACTTCTTCATATTAGCCATCGCGCTTGGTTAAAATGCAATTAAGTGTAATCTTCCTTTGCAAAGGAACTAAATTTTGCATTCACAGAAGCAATGTTCCAGAAAGAAATTATTTTCGTGCATGCTGCATACTTTATGATTGCTCAATGCTGATGTGCTGTTACCATAGATTTGTGGGAAATGTCATGTAGGACGTAACTGTCAGGTTCAGACCAATAGTAATACAGTAAGACTTAATGAAGAAAATGTTTCGTTTCATGTTCCAGCATGCAGCCTCTACAGAATTAAAGCAAAAGGCTGAAACTGGCTCAGGAGGGGGATATATAAACAGCATAAAGGTGCTCTTCAGCTCTAAGGAGGAGGTAAATGTCTGATGAAACAGTCCCTCAGCGTAGCACACAATCAATAAACCAGTTTGGTCCCCCAAATCAGAAACAGGAGAAATTCAGAGTGAAAGTAATTACATATTCTTGAAAATATGTATTCTGGTTTTTAGGCTATGGGTTGTTAACACCACCCTTACACAAGAAAAAAATTTTTAGATGGCAGAGGTTCTGGTTAAGGAATGTGGTGCTCAGCCTCCCTGTTCTTCCACCAGAGAACAACATCCCTGCAAAACAATTCTGTTGCCAAAATGTTTTTTGTTATATTATAAAGTACATAAGAAAAGCAGGCAGCTGGAATTGTGCAAGGCAGACTTCTCTTCTTTTAAGGCAGACTTTCTCATCTTTTAAGGCAGACTTAGAGAGCTCTCAGGGATCAAAAATCATCCTTCACAGATGAAAATAAAGCACCTTGGAGGCTGTTTATTCAAAATGTGTTTTGTCATCCTCCTTTGAGTATTGTTTTAAACAACACAGCCATTGCTGTGTAAACATTAACTGTAGCCCTGTCTCAGTCTATCACAGAAAGCATCTTTTACAAGATGTTATTTTAAGAGGAAGAAACAGGAAGAAGACTGACTTCATGATAGAAAGATTCGTGTGGTTTTTATTAGTCCTTCAAGTCTCTGCGGGTTACAGCGTGGAAGGCGCAACATGATACAACTCTCCTGCTTGTTTTCCAGATGGATTACTGAGGCTGATTGGACGGATATCTGTAGTTGAATTCAGTTATTTCACCTCCCTGTGTGCGTTAGCCCATTCTGATGAAGTCCTGCTATCTGGTGCCTCAACTCAGTCCGATGATTTAAGACTCTTGATCTGCTGGATCAGCTCCTTCCACGCGCCCTTTGGTTCATGGGTTCAAATCTTTGCCTTACTCGTGGCCTTGTTGTTCACGGAAAACAAAAAATCCAGGTTAGTGTTCTTGCATTTATTAACCTTGTGTTCTGCCCAGAACACTTGATTTTCTGGATATTTGCTTGTTTCAGTAGATATTGTGCTGTATACTATACCGGCTTTTCAAAAGTACTTTATAGACAGGGCAATATATTGTTTCAGAAGACAAAGCGGAAGACGCTCAGTAAGTAATTTCTCTTTGTGTTTTTTTCTTTGTTTTTTTCTTAAAGCTTATTTAATTAAAACAAGATCTTAACACCAGATCAGCCTGTTTTGTGCATCATGCATCTTGTCATAAATGACTAGATACAGATATATAATTTCTTCATAAAGAGAAA